TAGCTTCGAAGCACCCCTTCAGCCAGGGCTCTCCAGCTGGAAAAGCCAACAGAAGGAGGGGAGAGGGGGTAGCTTCGGAAGCCCCCTCCCTTTGGAAATGGGAGCCCGGGCTTACCCTGGGCCTCGAAAAAGAAAGGGGGGATAGCTTCCAAGCCCCCCCTCCCCCTCCTTTAGCTAGGGACCCCCCAGCTGCAAAATCAAAACCAAAGGAAGGGTGGGGGGGTAGCTTCAGAAGCCGCCCCCTTTGAAAGGGGAGCCAGGGCTGACCCTGGGCCCCAAAAGGGGGGGAGGGGGAGGTAGCTTCCAAGCCCCCCCCCCTAAGCCATGGCCCCCCTCAATTCAAAAATGCCAACAAAAAAGGGGGGAAGGGGGGGTAGCTTCGGAAGCCCCCCTCCCTTCCAAGGGAGGGGGGAGTAGCTTGAAGCTGGGGCGCCCCTTTGTTATAAGAAGTGTGCCAAAAGCGCGCTCTTTTGTACATCCAGTCATACTAACTGGGCGCCGGCGGTAAACCGTCAACCTTTCTTACCGCCTGGAGACTCGTAGAGCTTCCTTGCCATATATTATGTCCAAAGAATTAGCAGAAAACAATTAGTTTTCCAGCCCCAGCGCTGATAGCAGACTGATCTCAGGCGTCTAGATACATTTCACTTTATAAGAAGTGTGCCAAAAGCGCGCTCTTTTGTACATCCAGTCATACTAATGTCCAGCCACTCAGATCCACTCAAACGCGGACCACTCATTCACAAACTATCGTATCATATGATGACCTAACTGAGATCCCACAAACAAACATCCACCATCATGAATAGTCTGACTCATGATGATCACTCATGGCCACCGCGATGTCGCGGGCCCCCTTTGGAGGTCCCCAGATGTCTTGGAGGCCAACTGGGGGGCTGTGTCCCAATTAGCCTGGCGAGGGACCCAACCATATGCAGCTGCGAGTCTCACAGGATATGCCACTCTCATCGCAAGTAGTGCGCCGCGAGAGGGATGGAGCACGGGGCAACGCGGATGGGAGCCCCGAAACATACGTGAGGTGTGCCAAAATGAGCGGGGGACCAATACGGGCGCTGCCACTGGGGCCTTCGTTCAGAGCTTCCTAGGGGGCTACGAAGCGTGTGAGGGGTGCCGAAATCGCACGAGGCCGCCACGCGAACCCTGCCACTGGGGCCGTCGGTGGAGCTCCTCTTGAAGGTTGTGCCGCAATCGCCCGAGGCCGTGGAGCCCCCAATGGGGCCACGATCCTCGTGAAGGGTGTGCCGAGATGGCCCCAGGCCGCCATGCGAACCCTGCCGCTGGGGCCTTCGGTGGTGCTCCCTATGGGGCCACGGTCCTCTTGAAGGTTGTGCCGCAATCGCCCGAGGCCGCCATGCGAACCCTGCCACTGGGGCCTTCGGTGGAGCTCCCAATGGGGCCACGATCCTAGTGAGGGGTGTGCCGAGATGGCCCCAGGCCGCCATGCGAACCCTGCCACTAGGGCCTTCTGTGGAGCTCCCAATGGGGCCACGATCCTCGTGAGGGGTGTGCTGGGATGGCCCGAGGCCGCCATGCGAATCCTGCCGCTGGGGCCTTCGGTGAAGCTCCCAATGGGGCCACGATCCTCTTGAAGATTGTGCCGAAATGGCCCGAGGCCGCCATGCGAACCCTGCCACTGGGGCCTTCGGTGGAGCTCTCGATGGGGCCACGATCTTCGTGAGGGGTGTGCCGATATGGCCCCGAGGCCGCCATGCGAACCCTGCCGCTGGGGCCTTCGGTGGTGCTCCCTATGGGGCCACGATTCTCTTGAAGGTTGTGCCGCAATCGCCCGAGGCCGCCATGCGAACCCTGCCACTGGGGCCGTCGGTGGAGCTCTCGATGGGGCCACGATCCTCGTGAGGGGTGTGCCGAGATGGCCCCAGGCCGCCATGCGAATCCTGCCACTAGGGCCTTCTGTGGAGCTCCCGATGGGGCCACGATCCTCGTAAAGGTTGTGCCGAGATGGCCCGAGGTCGCCATGCAAACCCTGCCTCTTGAAGGTTGTGCCGAGATGGCCCCAAGCCGCCATGCGAACCCTGCCACTGGGGCCTTCGGTGGAGCCCCCACTGGGGCCACGATCCTCGTGAGGGGTGTGCCGGGATGGTCCGAGGCCGCCATGCAAACCCTGCCGCTGGGGCATTCGGTGAGGCTCCCTATGGGGCCACGGTCCTCTTGAAGGTTGTGCCGCAATCGCCCGAGGCCGCCATGCGAACCCTGCCACTGGGGCCGTCGGTGGAGCTCCCAGTGGGGCCACGATCCTCGTGAGGGGTGTGCAGAGATGGCCCCAGGCCGCCATACGAACCCTGTCACTGGGGACTTCGGTCGAGCTCTCAATGGGGCCACGATCCTCGTGAGGGGTGTGCCGAGATGGCCCCAGGCCGCCATGCGAACCCTGCCACTAGGGCCTTCTGTGGAGCTCCCGATGGGGCCACGATCCTCGTAAGGGGTGTGCTGGGATGGCCCGAGGCCGCCATGCGAACCCTGCCGCTGGGGCCTTCGGTGAAGCTCCCAATGGGGCATGATCCTCTTGAAGGTTGTGCCGAGATGGCCCAAGGCCGCCATGCGAACCCTGCCACTGGGGCCTTCGGTGGAGCTCTCGATGGGGGCACGATCCTCGTGAGGGGTGTGCCATATGGCCCCAGGACGCCATGCGAACACTGCCACTGGGGCCTTCGGTGGAGCCCCCAATGGGGCAACGATCCTCGTGAGGGGTGTGCCGGGATGGCCCCAGGCCGCCATGCGAATCCTGCCACTAGGGCCTTCTGTGAGGCTCCCGATGGGGCCACGATCCTCGCGAGGGGTGTGCCGAGATGGCCCCAGGCCGCCATACGAACCCTGTCACTGGGGCCTTCGGTGGAGCTCCCAATGGGGCCACGATCCTCGTGAGGGGTGTGCCGAGATGGCCCCAGGCCGCCATGCGAATCCTGCCACTAGGGCATTCTGTGGAGCTCCCGATGGGGCCACGATCCTCGTGAGGGGTGTGCTGGGATGGCCCGAGGCCGCCATGCGAACCCTGCCGCTGGGGCCTTCGGTGGTGTTCCCTATGGGGCCACGATCCTCTTGAAGGTTGTGCCGAGATGGCCCGAGGCCGCCATGCGAACCCTGCCACTGGGGCCTTCGGTGGAGCTCTCGATGGGCAGATTCTCGTGAGGGGTGTGCCGAGATGGCCCCAAGCCGCCATGCGAACCCTGCCACTGGGGACTTCGGTGGAGCCCCCAATGGGGCCACGATCCTCGTGAGGGGTGTGCTGGGATGGCCCGAGGCCGCCATGCAAACCCTGCCGCTGGGGCCTTCTGTGAGGCTCCCTATGGGGCCACGATCCTCTTGAAGGTTGTGTCGAGATGGCCCGAGGCCGCCATGCGAACCCTGCCACTGGGGCCTTCGGTGGAGCTCCCGGTGGGGCCCCGATCCTCGTGAGGGGTGTGCCGAGATGGCCCCAGGCCGCCATGCGAGCCCTGCCACTAGGGTCTTCGGTGGAGCTCCCGATGGGGCCACGATCCTCGTGAGGGGTGTGCTGGGATGGCCCGAGGCCGCCATGCGAACCCTGCCGCTGGGGCCTTCGGTGAAGCTCCCAATGAGGCCACGATCCTCTTGAAGGTTGTACCGAGATGGCCCGAGGCCGCCATGCGAACCCTGCCACTGGGGCCTTCGGTGGAGCTCTCGATGGGGCCACGATCCTCGTGAGGGGTGTGCCGATATGGCCTCAGGCCGCCATGCGAACACTGCCACTGGGGCCTTCGGTGGAGCCTCCAATGGGGCCACGATCCTCGAGAGGGGTGTGCTGGGATGACCCGAGGCCGCCATGCAAACCCTGCCGCTGGGGCCTTCGGTGAGGCTCCCTATGGGGCCACGGTCCTCTTGAAGGTTGTGCCGCAATCGCCCGAGGCCGCCATACGAACCCTGCCACTGGGGCCTTCGGTGGAGCTCCCGATGGGGCCCCGATCATCGTGAGGGGTGTGCCGAGATGGCCCCAAGCCGCCATGCGAACCCTGCCACTAGGGCCTTCGGTGGAGCTTCCGATGGGGCCACGATCCTCGTGAGGGGTGTGCTGGGATGGCCCGAGGCCGCCATGCGAACCCTGCCGCTGGGGCCTTCACTGAAGCTCCCACTGGGGCCACGATCCTCTTGAAGGAGGTTGTGCCGAGATGGCCCGAGGCCGCCATGCGAACCCTGCCACTGGGGCCTTCGGTGGAGCCCCCACTGGGGCCACGATCCTCGCGAGGAGTGTGCCGAGGTGGCCCGAGGCCTCTATGCGAACACCGCGATTGGGTCCTTCGGTGGTGCTCCCTATGGGGCCACGATCCTCGTGAGGGGTGTGCTGGGATGGCCCGAGGCCGCCATGCGAACCCTGCCGCTAGGGCCTTCGGTGAAGCTCCCAGTGGGGCCACGAACCGTGTGAGGGGTGTGCCAGAATAGTTCATATAAGGAGGGCAGAGGCACGGATGGGCAGAGGCAGGGATGGGAGGAGGGAGGAGGGGGGAGGAGAGGAGAGGAGGAGACGCGGGGCGCTGTCACTTCAAAACGAGGACCTCTCACCACAGGATGATTAGAAAAAACCCTCGATCCTCAATCCTCGAACCTCCTCAAACTCCTCGGACCTCCATCCTCGGACCTTCTCGGACTCCTCGGACCTCCTCGAACCTTGGTCCTTTTAACTCCTCGACTTCGTCGAATCTCGACCTTCGGATCCTCCTCGAACCTCGATCCTCGGAGCTCCTCGAGCCTCCTCGAGCCCTCGACTCTCCGATCCCTACCGACCTCCTCGAACCACCTGGACTCTTCTCGACCCTAGACCCTCGGAGCTCCTCGACCCTATCGAGCGCTCGATCCTCGAAGCCCCGTCGACCTCCTCGAACCTCCTGGATCCTCCTCTAACTTCCAATCCTCGGAGGTCCTCGGTAACCCATCGAGCCCTCGACTCTTGGAACCCCATCGACCTCCTCGAATCTCCTCGAGCCTCGACCGACTCGGGCTGGCCCAACCTGTGCTCGCTGGGCCCAGGCCCCTGCGCCGCCCCGGGCGCGGCGTCGGCCGCCAGCCACTGGGACAGCTCCGGTCGGATCCTCGGAAAAGCGGGGGAGGGGGACGGTGATGAGGACGACGCCGACAACGACGACGCGGACGACGACGACAACGACGACGACGACGACGATGACGATGATGATGATGATGATGATGATGATGATGATGATGATGATGATGATGATGATGATGATGATGATGCTGCTAATGATGATTCCAATGGTTATGATCACGCTGATCATGATGCTGCTGACGGTGATGATGATGATGGTGATGCTGATACTGCCGAAGACGATGATGATGGTAATGATGATGCCAACGATTCTGATTAGGATCACGTCTATGATGAGGATGATGATTGTTACAATGAGGCTGATGCCAATGATTATGATTACGATGATACTGATGCCAATGATTATGGTGCCGATGATATTGATGCTGATGATACTGGTGGTGATGCTGATAGTTCTGATGATGGTGACGATGATGATGCCATTATGATTAGGATGATGCTAATTCTGATGATGCCAATGGTTATGATTACGAGGTCAATGATGGTTAAGATGATGATGATGCAAATAATTATGTATCCGATGATGATGACGATGACGATGATGGTGATGATAATGATGATGCTGCTGATGATGATACTGCTGATGATTATGATGATGATGATGTCGATGATGCTGAGTACGATGATGATGGTGATGATTATCATGATGATGGCGAAACTGATTGAGATTACGATGAGGATATGAATGCCAAGGACTGTGATTAGGATTACGATGCTGATGATGATGACGGTGATGATCATGACTACGATGATGATGCCGATGATTATGCTGAAATTGATGATGATGGCTCTGATTATGACGACCGTGGTTCCAATGCGTATGAATACGATGGTGATGATGAAGATGTTGATGATGGTGTAATGATAATGGTGATTCCAATGATTCTGCTTGCAATGACGATGTCGATGATGATGGTCATGCCATTCATGCTGAGGATTACGATGACAATGATGATGACGATAATGATGCCGATGATGGTGATGACGATAATGATGCCAATGTTGATGATTACGATGATGGTGATAATGATGGTGATTGTGATGATGATGTCAAGGATCATGATTACGACGATGATGATTGTGCCAGTGATTATGGCTACGATGATGGTGATGATGATGATTATGGTGCTGATGATGTAAATGCTTGTGAATACGGTCATGATGATGGTGATGGTGATGATGGTGATGATAACGATGCTGCCAATGATTAAGGTTTACAATGACTATGATGACGATGATGATGCTTATGATGATGATGGTGATGCTACTGATTATGATTACCATGATGATGCTGATTATGATGATTATGATGATGACGCCGATGATTCGGACTACGATGATGGTGGTGCTGATGCCAGCGTTTATGATTATGATGGTGATGGTGACGATGATCACGGTGATGACAGTGATGGTGACGATGATGAGGACGACGAGGATGAGGATGAGGATGCTTATGATTATGATGCCAAGGATTATGATTACGACGATGATGCTAATGCCATGATTGCGATGATGGTGAGGGTGACGATGATGATGATGATGATGATGATGATGATGAGGATGATGATGATGATGATGATGATGATGATGATGATGATGATGATGATTATAATGATGACGCCAACGATTATGAACACGATGATGATGATCATGATGACGGTGATGATGATGACGATGCGGCCAACGATTAAGGTTTACGATGGCTACGGCGACGATGGTAATAACTACGATGATGATGATGATGGTGATGCCAATGATTATGATGATGACAATGATGATGCTGATCATCATGAGTATGATCATGATGCCGATGGTTCGGACTACTATGATGCACGAGGGAAAGTTTTGCGCCTCTGATTGTGTCGATGCTCCCCGATTTACCACAACAGCGGCTCCAGCCTCACCCCTCACAATCTATTCAAAATCGCGCTCTCGCGCGGGAGTTCCTCACAATGTATACAGAAATCGCGGGCTCGCGTAGTAATTCCTCGCAATGTATTGAAAGTCCGCGCCTTCGACACTCAGGAATCACGCTCTCGCTTTGGAATTCTTCACAATTCACTTGGAAATCGCGCTGTCGCTCGGAACTTTCTCGCGATTCATGTTGGACTGACGCTTCAGCGCCCCGCTTGCTCGACCCATCCGTCTGGTGCCGCCCGCCCGATCCGGCTAAGCTCGAGGAAGGGCTGCGTAACCCAACTCACGATCTAGGAAGGACTCACGCTCGATGGCCGCGTTGAGCGAGACGGTGAAGGCCTTGCGCATGGCCTGCAGCTCGACCAACTGAAGCTCAGTCAGCCAAGTAGCCCACTCCTGCAAACGGCGGTCGAGCTCGTCTGAGGCGCACCACTGGCTATCGATCGCCACCTCGGCCTCGACTAACCTCTCACGAAAAGGACGCCAGCTTCCTGAACAGCTTCCTGACCAGCTTCCTTGTCAGATTCCTCACCAGCTTCAGCTTAAGGACCAGCCACGGTATGCCGACGAGACCCCTCCGGAACACCACGGGCAGGTCCATGATGGGCGTGTTGCCGCGGGGCTTTGGCAAGAGGTGCAGAAACCGTCCCGCGCGAGGACGCCTGCGACAAAGGATAACAATCTGGAACTTGCCAAGGATCAGGTGCATCTTCACCTCGAGGCCGTGGGCGTCGGTGACGGCTATCCAGAGGGCCATCCGAGCCAGCATCATCAACTGGTCGACCAACTGGACCGTCTTCATCGGGTCCAGCGCCATGTGCTGCAGCACCAATAAGCTGAGAGAACCAAATGTCGACTGCACTCTCGTGGGCCCCTCGATGGCCATGCCCTCGATCGACCGCGACATGATCTAGTGCGAGAGCGATCAAGAGTTCCACCTGCACCAGCATGAGCCGACGAACCGTAACCGGGATAGGCTGAGCAGCATGATGGTGATGGTGATGGTGATGGTGATGGTGATGGTGATGGTAATTTTAATGGTGATGGTGATGGTAATGGTGATGGTAGTGGTGATGGTGATGGTGACGGTAATGGCGGTGAAGACGATTATGATGATGATGATGATATTGATGAGGATGATGACGACGATGACGATGACGACGACGATGACGATGACGATGATGGTGAATTTGATGATGATGATGATGATGCTGCTGATTATCCTGACGATGGTGACGATGATGATGCCGATGATGACGATGATGATGGTGACGATGATGATGACCATGATGATGATAACGATGACGATGACGATGACGATGGTGACGGTGATGGTGATGGTGATGGTGATGATGATGATGATGATGATGATGATGATTATGATGTTGTGGTTGATGATGATGGTGATGGTGATGGTGATGATGATGATGATGATGATGATGATGATGATGATGATGATGATGATGATGATGATGATGATGGTCCCTCAACAACAAGTGGAACGAGCGTCGAGAGCGCGTCGCCCAACTTGCCTACCAATGCCCAACAAGCGGGGTGCCGCCCGAGCACTGGCCGCCCGAAAGCACCCGGGCGGGAGCAAGGCCAAAACAACCGTAGCGGCCGCCAAAAAGGGGTTCGAGGCGGGCCAACCGTGAACACGTTAATTACGAGACACTACCACCCCCCTATTCCGCCGCCATGGTTCACCTGCCGCTGGGGCGGCAGGTGCGGGCTGCCGAAAGCTGCCGAAAATCACCCACCCCCGAGGCCCCCGCCGCGGGGGGAAGGGCAGAGCTCCCCATCCTGGCAAGGAAGGAGAGCAAATGGGGGTGGATGGGACACGGGCGTAGGATTCCGAAGTGAAACCAGCCGTGGCAACAAGGGGGCCCTTGGCCCCTGGGAACCACCATTGATCCGCCATTGTTGACCTGCCCGTGCATCTCGGTCACCCGAGGCGGGCAGGGGCGGGCGGCCATGGTTCATCCCACTCCGAAGCGTCCAGCGACGGGGGTGATGATGATGCTGCTGATGATGCTGATGAAAATGATTACGATTATGATGATGGTGATGATGATGACTGATGCCGATGCCGATGACGATGATGGTGTTGATGATGCTGATGCTGATAATGAGGATGACTATGCTAATGCCCACAAGATGGTTTCTCCGAGGCCACTGTCGGAATGTATTCGAGTGCGAAAGGCCTCGCGGTGTGCGACACTGGGGACACAGGCAAATATGACTCAATAGCCGAAGGACGCTTTGACGCAGGGACCCACGGCCACGCAACGAGAGACAGGGTGGGAGGGTTGGGAGCTCGAGAGCCGAAGGCTACGGAACGCAAGCAATCGGATGGCGGGGTCTCTCTTCCTAAGTCACATTCAGCTGTTCCCCATGCGATTCTCTTTTCTTGAAACAGTCACACACAGTCGGGCACATGTAGTCTTTGTTTGTTTTTGTTCCTGGGCGCGGATTTGCCAAACAGGGTCGCGCACACTCATGCACACGTGATGTGTTCCTCTGTTTCGCTGGCGCTGCCTCTCCGAGAATGTTGACTCGCCGCCATGCGCGGTGCGTTTTTTTGTTTGCCCCCTCCCCCCCTCCCCTCGGCTGGCCTAATTTCCTGTTTTTTTTTGTATTTGTTTGCTTTCGTTTGTCCGTCGGCTGCATTGGTCACCACAAGCTCGCCTGCCGCCCCCCTCGGCTGGCCCCGCGCCCTGGCTGGCTTTTGTTCTTTTTGGTTTGTTTTCGCTTGTCCGTCGGCTGCGTTGGTCGCCCCAGGCTCGTCTGCCGCCCCCCCCTCGGCTGGCCCCGTTCCCTGGCTGGTTTTCTTTGTTTTTGTTTGTTTTTGCTTGTCCGTAAGCTGCATTGGTCGCCGCAGGCTCGTCTGCCGCCGCCACCCCACCCCCCGACTGGCCCCATTTCCTGTTTTTGTTTTGTATATTTTGGTTTGTTTTCGCTTGTCCGTGGGCTGCATGGGTCGCCCCAGGCTCGTCTGCCGCCCCCCTCGGTTGGCCCCGCTCCCTGGCAGTTGTTGTTTGTTTTGTTTGT